CTGGTTACCCCTCCACCTTCAATTAGTTACCACTAAACCACGACTTAAATATGTAACTAATAAGCTTGTGCCGGAGGCCCCGGGGGGACAGGCATCTATGACGTCTCCTGGTCAAACCCCAATTGGCGGAGCCAGGAGATTGAATCTTTACCCTCAGGGCTCCTCCAGAAACAACGAAAATCCACTTCGTGTGGCCACGTGGAATGTCCAAACGCTCACTGCGGAGGAGAGGCTGTCACTCCTCTGCCGGGAGCTGGACCGGTACCGCCTGGATCTCTGTGGCATTCAGGAGGTCCGGTGGACCGGTTCTAGCTCCTGCCACCATGAGGGGTGGACAGTCCTCTACTCGGGGCAGGAGACTGCCAAACAACAGGCCGTGGCTCTTCTTCTGAGAGCGTGGCGGTGAGGTGTGGGAAGCTGTAAGCCCCAGGCTACTTTGGGCTCGCCTTCCCATCAACCGGAGGCGAGGAGTGGTGGTCGTGGGTTACTTATGCCCCCACCGAAGACGAACATCCGTGGAGGAATGCAGTCAAAGCCGATGAGTCAGATGCCTTCTATGACCTCCTGTCACAGGTGCTGGCTAAAGTCACCAAACGGGAAAGTCATCTTGTTGGGCGACTTCAATGCCCGAGTTGGTTATGATGCTGGCACCTGGTCTGGAGTGATTGGAGGGCATGGGCCAGATCAGCTCAATAACAACGATAGGAGGCTGCTAGATTTTTGTGCAGCCCATGGGCTTGTAATTACCAACACGCTCTTCCGGCATCGGCGCATCCACACATCATGGTTGCATGCCGGGTCCAAGCAAGAACATCTGCTGGACTACATAGTGAGGGACCAGCAGATGCGAGCCCATGTCCTTGACACTAGGACCTACCGTGGAGCTGATCTGCCCTCTGACCATCGACTCGTCATCTGTAATATGCCATTCTTCCACTCTGGTGATGGGTGTACACCCAGGACCCCATTCCAACCTAAAGTGGCTTGGTCTCAGTTAGCTGATGAAAGTTCCAAGCGAGAATGTCAATCGCTTGCAGCTGGGGTTGGCATCATCCCCCACTCCTCCTGATGTCGAGGGTAAATGGGCGAGGTTTAGGACTGTGACTCATGCAGCCGCAATGGCTGTTTTGGGTACGCGGTCTAGACCTCCCCAGAGACCCTGGCTGACAGAGGAGGTGTTCAGGATAGTTGAGAAAAAGCGACAGGCCCACTCTAATCGGCTACAGAATCTCACGTCAGAGAATGAAGAGGCTTACCGCAGCCTTCGCTCGGAGGTTCGGAGAGCCGTAAGGCGCTGCAAGGATGGGTGGTGGTCATGGGTTGCTGAGGAGATGGAGTCTGCCTCAGTGGCCCGTGATCACAAATCACTATATAACTCCATCAAAAAAGTAACCTGCAGCGCCACACCTATTACCATCATTAGGGGAAAAATGGTGATCCAATCTCTGACCCCCAGGAACAGGTTTGCAGATTTGCTGAGCATTTCTGAGGTCCTGGGGGAGGGGAAATCCCTCAGCCAGGAAAACATCTTGGCACAAAGTGGAGATGACCCTGCTGAGGCTGCGGTGCCTCAAATATTGGAATAAGTCACCCCCTGTGAGTGGCTGGCTGAGGTGCCATCTGTTGAGGAAGTACTGAAGGCGATCCAGAGTCTGAGACCAGGAAAGGCACCTGGCAGAGATGATCTCCCAAGCAAAATGCTGAGGGAGGGTGGCGTTTGTGCACATACTGCCCTATATGACATCATAACAACAGTCTTGACCACTGTACGGGTTCCGCAGAATTGGAAGGATGCCCTGGTGGTCCCCCTCTTTAAGAAGGGGGACCACACAGACTGTAACAACTATAGGGGCATCTCACTCCTCAGTGTGCCGGGAAAGGTCCTGGCAAGGATTATTCAACATCACCTTGCTCGGCACGCTGAGGACCGGCTTGCGGGAGCCCTAATGGGGTTTCAGGAAAGGGCGGTCCTGCACAGATGCCATATTTTGTCCGTCTGCTACAGCAGAGGTGTAGGGAATTCCAACAAGACCTACATCTCTGCTTGATTGACCTGGTCAAGGCCTATGATACCATCAGTAGGTACTGGGCACTGGGTTTTCTGCTCATGATCATTAAGGACCTTCATGATGGTGAGCGGGACCAGGTAAAACTACGTGGCTGGGAGTCAGAGCCATTCCCTGTACACCTTGGAGTGCGGCAGGGATGTCCTCTGGCTCCCACATCATTTAACATATAATTTGACCACCTCGTTCGTGAAACTTTCAATAGCTGTACCGGGGGAATTTCCATTTGGTACAGACAATGGGAGGCTGATCGATTCCCGGGTGCAATCAAGGGATGGCTCCCGATTGGTCAACCACGTTATGTATGCCGATGATTTGGTAATAGCTGCTCATTCAGTGGAGGAGTTGGAGACGCTGCTGCTGAGACTGGAGCGAGACACTAAGAGGTGGGGTCTTACCATCAGCCCTACCAAAACTAAGCACCTGCCTGGGTATTTTGTACCATCGGACACTCCACCCACACAACTCCCAATCGGTGATGGGGCAGTTATGGAAAGAGTGGAAAGTTTCCCATACCTGGGCAGTGTGCTTATGACCGGCTCCAGTTTAACAGCAGAGGTCTTCACTCTGAATCAGTCGAGCGGCAATATCTTTTCATCGGTTGCGTAACGCTGTGTGGAAGCTACCTGGTCTGTCGCTCCACACGAAGCTTCAGGTCTTCTCGGCCACAGTCATTCCCTCCCTTCGCTACGCTTGCGAAATGTGAACCCCCCTAATGGAGCATCTTCGCCGGTTAGAAAAAATTAGGCTGGCCTGCCTACGATCCATCCTGGGTTTAACCAGGCTGGATTGTGTGAGGAGCTCACAAATCCTTGAAAGATCTGGGCAAAGTCCCATCGGTGAGCTCCTCCGGTAGGCAAGGCTGCGTTGGCTGGGTCATGTAGCCCGCATGCCCAGCCACCACATGCCGAAACAGCTTTTGTTCGGCCGGATCGAGGGGGCTAAACGGGCACGGCACGGGCTAGAGAAGAAATTGAGTGATGTGGTACAGGAGGACGTGGAGCTGAGTGGACTTGCCGATGACTGGTACCAGCGGTGTCAAGATCGGCCTCTGTGGAGGAGGCTCGTGAAGGACGCTACTGGGCAGTTGGAGGCAGTCATCCTCCAGCGCTGGGTGGCTAAAGCACAGCAAGTTGGCATAGTATGGGGCACAGGTGGTGCATCAGCCAGTCATCTCAGTCATCTCAGTCAGTCGACCCGTGGCACCTGGGTCTGTCCCGTGACCTCCTGCCAGCGGGCGTTCGACAATTCACGTGGCCTCAAGGTGCTCATGGCCTGGCACAAGCGTCGTGGTGACGTCACCGCCACTTAGTGGCGAATGGTGGTTGTTGTTGTGTGAGCGGTAGTGTAAGTCCAGTATAGTGGTAGTGTGTGTGTAGCAGTGGGAGTGTAAGTATAGTGGGAGTGTGTGTGTAGCAGTGGTAGTGTAAGTATAGTGGTCGTGTGTGTGTGGGGGAGCGGTAGTGTAGGTATAGTGGTAGTTTGTGTGTAGCAGTGGTAGTGTGTGTGGGGGAGCGGTAGTGTAGCGGTGAGCGTTCCACGCTACAAACCCGGCGACCCGGGTTCGATTCCCGATCACGGCTAACACCAGTGACGAATATCTGAACTGGCCCTGGGCCTCCCTAGGTTGTCTCAGCTTCAAATGAGTACCGGGTGCAGTGTGTAAACATCGCCACTGGGAAGACAAAGGTGACCGGGCGTGGTGCTGGCCACCCACTCCCTCATGTACTGTTCCGGCCTTCATAGGTGCTCGCTAACAGCACTTGCCCCAATAGTCTGTTTAGGCTACAAAAATATCTTTGTTGTAATATTAATAAACTCAAATTCCCTCCCCCCTCAACTACGGTGCTGTAGGCGGTAGAGCGAGATGTCTCACAATCGGAAGGTTGCAAGTTCAATTCCTGGGGAGCTGAATCATCTCATCACCACTCCAGGGTAGATAAAATCGGTACTGGTTTGTAGTAAAGTCAACAGTGGTTGTCCAATGGACAGACTCACCCCTGTCATGGGAATGTGGATTTTCCACCACCGGCTCTGGGTTCAAATCTCATTTGAGGAGGAACTACCTCAAAATAATGATTGTCAAACAGAACTTGTCCTCAACACGATCATCGGCCCTGAATTCTGATACCGATGCCTACCTTATCTTAAACTCTATGTGGAAAATACAATCCATCTAGTTGGTTATTTCCGGTTGCCGAACGAATACATTGCACTCATTACACACAAAGTGCTTGCCACAAGTGAACCACAGCACCTCGCTGATCTCATCAAGCAGCATAAACCATCACGCGGCTTTTGGCTTAGCCATCAAACAAAGAGGATGGTCACCGCATCACACGCTTTCAGATGCGCTTCTGCAGCTGTCTAGAACGCTCTTGCTTCCAATATTAGGAAGTCGCTGGAGTTGTGTGCACGTTTAAATCTAAACACAAAAATCAGTTCCAAAGAAATTAGTTCAAGACTCCTGAGGAAGAGTATCTCAATATAGATTATTTAAAAGTACGTAGGGCCGGTGGATTTTCTCTCATTCAAAATTAGTTTTTTTTTGGGTTAGATCGCGTAACTATGTGTCGTTAAATTTCGATTTAAAGCTTTCGTGACTGCAGGGATTCATCTCTATGTGTCGTTAAACGCGCCACCACCTGCCACAGCCAATTGGTAAGGTTTTTCACGTAAATAAAACATGTCAATTAGTTACTAGTTCAGTAAACCCACATTTACAATTCGAGTAGGATAACAGGTAAAGTGTTAACTTGAAGATAAACAAACTTTTGATGACATTGTTAAAAAATTAAATAACCCTGTATCTTGACTTTTGGGCCACCATGTATTGAGCCATACCGCGATTGTGCTGCGTCCAACATCAGCACTGTGACGCATATGCAAACGACCGCTGCGACGATCATGGTGATGGACACGCAAACGTCTCTCTCAGCGTAGGGTGGGTTTATTTGAACCACGCCAACGGTAAGGTCCGTAAAAAGAGATAACGTGCACCGTCAACCGCTGTCTGTGTGATGCGTAACGCCGAACATGCAACTCCACATCCAAACGCTGGAGCATGATCGTGAACCCTTCACTTCGCATGCCTGACCACTGGGCTCTTTTAATCGCCCACTCTTCCTCCTACACATACTCTCAGCATCCACCCTATGATTACAATTTTTTCTTTTTCCAGGTAGTAGCAAGCTGAATGCCCGTTTGTACCCACATGTTGAAAACTAATTTCCTTCTCGATTGAAAACTCAAGGTTGAAAACTCATTATTTAAAAGTGCTTTTTTTTAATTTGTCCCATCCCCCCGCACCTCCAATGACCATGGTTTTTGTTAAACGCTTTCTTTTATTTTACCAGGTAAGGTCCACTACGGAGCCATGTAGCTCTTTTTAAGATGCGACCTGGCTATCACAAATGTTAGCTCAAACAAGTGTCTTATCACGTGGAAATGTATAGCAGCCAAATAATATAATTGCGTGATGTTGATTCTGAATGTGGAGGGAAAAACAGGACGACCCGGATACAAAAATTATTACGATCACGGGCAGAGACATGCAAACTCCAAATATACAGCAGGCATCAGTGTCTGGATCTAACCCACAACCTCCTTTATCCCAGGCGAGGTAATTAACATCTCGCCACCCACACTTGTCATGCTCTCTGCCCAGGCTCTGGTTTTTCCCTGCACATTTAGAAACATGCATTGGAATTATTTAGATTATTTTGCTGCTATAAATTTCCACGTAATAAGCCATTTTGTTGAGCTATCATTTGTGGACAGGTTGCTTCTGAAAAATAAGTTAATATCTCAATGGGCTTTGCCTGCTAGGAAGGGGATGGTTTAGTTTTATGTATGTGTTGGGGTGATTTGTTTACCTTTCTTGTATCTTGCACTATCATATTTTTGTATTGTTTGTTGTAGTAACGTTTTTACCACGTGCCCCTACTAGACGTCTGTGAAAAAGAGCTTTATAGCTCATCAGATTCCTCCAGTATAACTACGTATTCTGATTCAGATTCTGAAACTCCCCCACCCCATCTCTCTCTCGCTCTCTCATCTCTCTCTCCTTCACACTGTGACGCGTTACCGTTGCAAACCACACGCACAGTGAATTTGCTATGAAGAAGAGCCACGTGGAAAGTTGCAATGTCGAACGAAACATGATGCAAGCATTGCACACCGAACGAAAATACATTGCAAACAAAACAAGTTTGGTAATGCACCGTCGGATTGGGACATTTAAAAAAAATGAAAGCACACAGATTATCGCACCCATCACACTGTCTCCATCACTTCATAGTGAATAAAACATTACACTTTTTTGTCTAAGATCGATGATGTGATTAACATACATCCATTTAAAGAAAATAAAAAAACATACATTTTAAAGTCCTGGTAGTTCCTTTTCTTGTTGGAGAAACAAATGCTGACCATGATTAAACGTGAATATTGGCACAAGCTATTCAGAATAATGTTGCTGCGCAAATGGTGAAGTTACACAGACTCGATGCACTGAACCATGGTCATATTAATCTGTCCTTCACTTTACATGAATTACTTATATGTTATGTAATTACGGCTCAATTCAACATTATTCACAGTTTCAATCAAGCAAGGGGGACACACAGTCCCACCCACATGGTGCCCTCTGAGAATGAGTACGTATGCACTTTTACATCATCTACATTGAAAACTATTTCTTGAACTGTATGCACTTTTACATCATCTACATTGAAAACTATTTCTTGAACTGCTTTTTGTGTCTAGTTTATCCTTGCCCCGCACCTCCGATTAGCATGGTTGGCTACGTACGGTGCAAATAAAGTTCAACATACACACTCACACGTGAATGTCTGGATAAAAAAAATCAATGCTTTTAATCCTGCACACGAGGCGTTATCCTCTTGGTTGTGTAAATGTTGATGTTTAATGATTACAAAAAAAACGATGAGCGCCCGCGGTGAACCCAGTGTCTGAAAGCCAAACGCGTGTGCATTGGCTGCAAAATAATTCTGTATCAGCCCACGTTTGTTTGCAGTTCAGCACGAAATCTGTTTCAGAGAAATATTTACTAATTTGCCAACTGCTGTGACCTTGAGGCTTGCCGCATTGTTTTCGGCCAAAAAAATTAACCCTCCCCCACATCAACAAAGTCATCACGCACATTTTTACACGTAGAAGTAGTCGTAGGCTTTAGCGACCAAATGGTATTCACGAATAAAGGTTTTTTTGTGTTAGATCACATAAATATGAATACCCCATCGTTTGAATAATAATGAATTTGCACAGCTTTGTCAATCCAGACCTTTGACAAAGTCATACCCACACCATATCAGCTGCTTGGCCATGTTAGGCCATACTTTATAATGTTTGGCCATACTTTAACAATGTTTGCCCGTGCTTTTACAATGTTTGGCCATTATATAGAATGTTTGGCCATACTATATAATGTTTGGCCATCCTTCAGAATGTGGGTATTGCCCTCTGAATTAAAAAATCTCATGAGAAAAGGTTTTAGTTGTATTTGGTTTCAAAATGAGTTATCTCGGTTAAAATTCAAATTCGATTCCATTTTTGGCGCCGATTAATTGGTCCCATTGTAGTAAACACACACCGAGGTTATATTCACAATCACAGTAACGTGCGGATAGACCTCGCTTAGCACGTCCCCCCATAGAACGACGATTCGTTAGAGCTCTTTTTGTATTTGAGAAAATGTTGTATGAAAATAAAAAAAATGAAAGTAAACGAATCTACAAAGCGCTTTTTGAGCGAGAACGGTTCAACGGGGTCATCCGAGAAAACGTCCCCCCACCCCCATCATTAGCTCAGCCAATAAGAGCGACGCATGGCTCTGAGCCAATCAGCACCACCACCACCCAACCCCGCCCCCCCGTGATTCGATTATCACAAATTGTGGTCACGATTACATGAAAACAAAAACAACAAAAAATCGGTTTGTTTAGCCAGGTGAGAACTCACGAGACCAGGAATCAGAGTTTCAGGCTCATCCTAAAAGAAACCTCACCACAGACATTTAGACCGAGGGCATCGCTAAGACCATGGAGGTCTCCTAGAGCACTTCTCTGAGAATGACCCAGATTGGGAGCGCTTTGACTCCCCCCACCACCGCCATGTAGTAGTATACTGGAATGCAGTCATGAGTACAGTACATAATACTTCATGGATGATGTTTTAATATTATTTTCACGAAATAACATTTATCGTCTACATTATTATTATTAGAGATGTTACCGATAGACCAATGAAGCCCCTCGTATATATATTGCTCATACGAAAGAAATAACTCCGGTGTGTCGGGAACGCATTCCCCCCCGTACGCACAACAGTTTGACGGTTTGAGGGCCCCCTGTTTTTAGCACCGAATCGACGAGCGCTCCCTCCTCCGGGAAAGCGCGTACAGAGCGCTAAGCGAGGTCTGCCCCGCCGTGCAGCTGTTGAGAGCGACCGTTAAAAAAAATGTGATCGTCCTCGTGACTTTTAGAAGAGGAGCCCAAAATCACAGAGGGCAAGCGACGAGGCAGGGTAGACGCCAAAGGCGGGGTACAGGGGCTGCGCGAAGCTGCCCGTGAACGAGTGGAGCAGCGCCATCGACTGCGCATTGTAAAACGCGATAGTGCCGGCCTCGTAGTCGAGGTGCACACCCAGAACCTCGAGCGGCTGGCGAACGTCGACGACCACTTTGTTGCCGTTGTGCCAACCGGAAAACTCGCCGTTGGCCAGCGAGAAGCACCAGGACACGGAATTGTTACCCAGCACGTTCCTCTCGTTGTGCCGCTTCCTGCCGATGGAGCCGTAGGCGACGCCCACCTCCCACTGAGCGCCGCACTTCACGTACACCTCCCAGTAGTGCTGGCCCGACGAGAAGCTCTCCGAGCAGAGCACCTGGAGGACGCACTCGAACCGCTGGGCATTGTCCGGGTAGTCCTGCACTTCCTCCGAGTACGTTGCCATGTGGTAGTCTTTGGAAATCAGCAGGTTGGGATGTGCAGTGCTGACGTCCATCACCAGCTTGCGCTTGTCTGCGGAAAAAATAAATAAAGCCAAGGGTTTTAAGTTCGGTTTACACCAGTGGTTCTCACGTGGGGGGAGGAGGGGACACGAATTCCCTGGGGGGTTGACGTGGCAATGTCCCAGGGGGGTTACGTGAGGTGATTTATAAACGTGTAAAATTATATTGTACATGAGAGTCATTGGTGAATCATCATCATGTATGAATCTGCCAATATAAAATAACTACGATAAGATTTTAATCCGTATAGTAACCTACAACGATATAAAATACCTTTCTAAACTCATCGATCGTAAACAATGTGATGTCCAAGAGTAACCAGCAAGCGCGAATAAATGACGTCACACGCATGCAGAGCATGCATTGAATTTCTTTTTTATACGCTTGCAGTTGTGAGCTAGTTAGGATGGCATTACAAAATGGACAATTGGTTAAAATATTTATGATCATTATTCATACATTTATTTCTTAGAACAATGTTGGGTCAGGCAAGGAGATACTCGGTTGAAACTAAATTCAACAAGGGGTGCAGTAGACAGAAAAGGTTGAGAACCACTTGAGGAAATCATCTCAGTACGGGGGCACAGTGAATTAAACGATGGCAAGGATCCTCCAAACACCACTGCTGAAAGCTTAAAATTATTTTTAAATGCACAGACACTTCAATTTGCGAACTGCACGTCGCTCACACGTACTGAACATCCTCCACGGGTAGAGATTTCTCGTCTTTTGCATCTTGTCCATCTGCGCGAAAATGTTGTCCAGCCACGCCAAGTGCTCTGTGATGCCGCGCTCGTCCAGGGCAGGAGGCTCCACCCTGTCTGGGATCTGCGCCAGCGCCACGTCAATCCTGCACCACGACCCGCACGGCAAACACACGCGCGCACACGCACGCACATGCACGCACAAACGCACATGCACGCACACACGCACACACACACGTGCACGCACGTGCAGTCATTTAGCTCTGTCTATCACTCCTGGTGGATCGTGCAACGATTATCTGAACCGGTCCTAGGCCACCCCTAGGTCAACTCAGTCTCAAATGAGTACCCGGTGCGGTGTGTAAACATCGATACTAGGGAGACGAAGGCGGCTGGGCGTGGTGCTGGCCACCCACCCCCTCATGTGCTGTGCCGGCCTTGATAGGTGTTTGCTAAAGGCACTCGCCCCAACAGTCTGTTAAGGATATACAGGAGATCTTTGTCTTTGTGTGAAGGTGAACGTTGGATCATTCACAGCCTCTCGTCCATCCACTGCTGAATGAAGGGCCGCCTCGCGAACATTTTTAATCGGGCCAGTTGTTTAACCGTACTTCATGCCGGTTAGCGCGTTGTGGTGCAAGTAGGGGACAACGATCGGTTTAGACATCATCCAGAGCAGCTGACGTTAGCCATGGCTCGGACTCGAACTCGGGTCACCAGGGTCTTATCGCAGTGCGCTAACCACTGTGCCACTTGCTCCTCCCCCAAAAAACACACACATGGCACAATTAGTGAGAAAATGTGAAATAATTACCTTTGAGAATGTATTGGATATTCCTAAAAAAACAAAGACATTATTAATTATAACACACAAAATGCATTGTTCAATAAAATGTAATGCATCACGTTGGTTATAGTATCATGTGATATAAAGTAAATATTTTTTCGAATGGATTAATAGCAACAGATTAAATATGTAATTTTCAGATTAATTATCCACTCAATTGTCTGTTCAGAAGCAAGAGTGGATCTCATCCGTTCCTCCTAAAAAGGAGTGAAGACAACGGCAGATTGTTTCCGACGCAGGCCACAGTTTGGGATTCATGGCCGCACAATTCGCAGGCCGCTTAATCTTCTGATGCGCCATTTGTGCATCAGGTTGCCATGTCGGCCATGCCTTGTCCTGATTAAGTAAATGACAACACAAGTTGCACAAATTTGGATTCCTATTGGTGTCACAATGCGACTGCATCTCCAGATGGTGTACGGAATCAGTGGTCATATTATTTCACGGAAAGGGTAAAGGAAGGGGAAGGTCTGCGAGCCTGGACCTGAACAGGGGCATGGAGTTGACAGCACAGATGGCTGGGGGGGAAAGGGAATTTCAGACTTTGGGGTCAGCGGAGGAGAATGAGCGACCTCCCACTCAGTAAAATTTCATTGGGTGGGGGGGGGGCTTTGACAGAAAGCCTTGTTTGGTGGAGCAGAGAGTGTACGGAGGGGGAGTAGAGTGAGATGGGAGGGGAAGGGGCCAAGTCTTGAGGATGGTGAATGTGATTTCAAAGTTGATCCGGGATAAGCATTGGAAGCCAGTGGAGGGATTGGAGCACTGGAGTGATGTGAACCCTGGTTTTGGGTTGAAGTGGGAAGTCTAAGCCGTGACATTTTGTATCTTCTACAGGTAGGAGGTGAGGGATTTGAGGAGGCTGCAGAGGAGAGTGTGTGCAGTTTAACACGTAGTAGTAGTAGGCTTTCGCGACCAATATTATCCATAAGAGGTATTTTTTGGTTAGCTCACATATAGATGTGTCGTTAAACCCGCCACCACCCGACACAGACAATTACTAAGGCCATGTAAACAAAAACATGCTAATTAGTTACTAGTTCAGCACACCGGAGTGTTGGAGGTGGGTTGTTGTGGGTTTACTTTCCAACACACAACCGGTGAGTAATGAATTAGTTAACTAATTGGCACGTTTTGTTCACATGACAAACCTTACTAATTGTCTGTGGTAGGTGGTGGCGGGTTTAACGACGCATTTACATTTTTATATTTACGCGAACCAACCCAAAAAAAAACCTCCATTATAGTGAGTGTTGCAGTCATCGATTCGGGATATGATGAAAGCCACGGATGAGGGTCTGAGCAGCAGCTTGGTGCAAGGATATGGCGGATGATGGCAGGAGACTTTCGCAGGTCGGAGGAGTGAGGCAGGGAGATAATGAGAACTCCCAAAAGGCCATGCGGGAGGGGTGTGTGGCAGTTTTGTCGCTGGCTATAGTAGAGTGCGGCGGTCGTATCACTCCGGTTCTCTGCGGTGACTAACAATGTCTTTAAAAACAACAAAGCGCTACTACACCTCTCTTAATAAAATTAACGCTGAACCGCTCGCGCGTTCCCGAGATCCAGCAGTGAACGGGACACCCACCAACCCTGCAACTTGTGGTCGTCTCGAAACACGGGAGAAGGGTTAACGCCGGCCTCGGCGGGGGATAAGCAAAACGGGACGGATTAGCAAAAACATCGAGACGTTGACTACAGTGCGTTGCTAGCGTGGGCCCCCTCGTGGAGTAGACGACGGGCAATTGTTGCGGATCTCTCTCTCTCTCAGCATCTGCACACCGATGTTGCTGCTGCTGCACAGGGCGTCCTCTCACCTGCACGAACGACAAGCTGTCCGTCGTCTGCAGCAGCTGGCGCGCGGCGGCCTCCAGCGCCTGGATCTCAGCGAGGCGTGCGTCCAGGTGGTCGGCGTCCTGCTTGGTCTTCTGCAGCGCCTTGGCTTGCTCGCCGCTCAGCGCCTGCTTTGCAGCCTTCGTCTCTCGCTCGAGGAAAGCCTTCACGTCCTTCTGCCTCCCTTCCACCTTGCCCGCGTGGGCCGTGAAAGCAGTCTGTCGCAGGAGAAGACCGAATGCGCGGGCATGCGTAGGGGAGTCATTACGAACGATGAATGTCCGTTCTCCCCCCCAGCAACGCCCAAGCGGGAACCATCATCAAGGCAGAAACGTAAATGTTAGGTAAAAGTATTATTAACCAGGTCTGGATTTTCCGATGGCGCAGCCGTTATTGCAACCAATGGAATTGAATTTCAAGAACTGATTGAAGAACTTAACAAAGGAGGCTGCAACGCTGATAAATTGAATGTGATTCGAGTAAAGAAGACAAATCTAAAAGAAAATATACATTTAAAAAGACCTTCAGGCTATACTGTGACTCACACAAGACATGCCATCACTTAAATAACATTTATTTATTTATTTATAACAATTTAAAAGCCAATATATTACAAGTGTCAGATTGTTTTTATTGGATTCAATAAAAACATTTATAGCAATAATGGCTTCATGCAAAATAAATAACTTTGTCACTGTAGTTGTGTTTACACAGTTCGTCATTTTTTTTAATAAATTCCGCAATGCAGCGCGATAGGGGGGCCATGGCCCCCGAGGCGTGATCGTTGCAGGGCGGGCGTTGAGGAAATCGAGCGTTGCTCCCTCTGTCAGAGGAAACGATTTTTTTTGCTATTTTTATTTTACCAGGTAAGGCCCCACTGAGCTGTATAGCTTTTTTTCAGAAGCAACCTGGTTTTCACAAATTACAGCTCAACAAAGTGGCCTATCAACATCACTTGGAAATTTATAGCAGCCAAATATTCAAAAATGCGTGATGTTGATTCTAAATGTGGAGGGGAAAATCGGAGGACACGGAAAAAAAATCCTCGCGAGCACGGGGAGAGAGAGACACACAAACTCCAAATATGCAGCAGGCGTCAGGGTTGGGATCAAACTTCATCGGAATAAACACCTCATCAGAATAAAGCACACGCAATGTTTATCCATTTCGATGGATAAACTACCACTGTTGTCAGTAACAGGGTAGTCACCTACGTTTATATAAAACATCAGAAAACTGGAGCTGCATGGCCTACTCACCAACCAAGTCAAATAATTCTATATTTCTTATATATTTATGTCAGTCGGTATTATTGTTCAGTTAGAACTACCCCAATCACTGAAAATTAGACCGATTCCCTAAACACTATCCAATACACAACCGTGCGACAAGTGGGAATACCAAAGAGAGAGAGACGGAGTGCATACACAGAAAGAGGGAGTGTAGGGAGAGAGAAGAAAGTGCACAGAGAGAGAAGAGAGTGCAGAGGGAGAGGGAGAAGGGAGTGCAGAGAGAGAGAAGCAGTCACAAAAGCTTAACTGGTACGTTTTGCTTACGTGACAAACCTTACAAATTGGCTGTGTCAGGTGGTTGGAGGTTTCACGACACATTTATATTTACGAGATCTAACCCAAAAAAATTACTTTATTATGGAGAGTAAGAACTCATCTGCAACGATGGCAGCTGTGTAGGGATTGTCACCAACACCTGCGTGCAACCCGGTACAGTCCAGGGTTTGGCGTTTGTGCAGCAGGAATTGATTTTGTACCGACATCTGCTACTGGCATCTTGTTCAACTTAATCGCAGTTTTACTGCACAGCTTTGACAGACCATTCTCTCTCCTCGCCCCTCCCACTCCATCCTGTCCCTCCCCTCTAATCCTTTTGTGACCCCACGTGTGCCCTCTGTTGCAGTCACTCATTCCTCGAACCCTTGCACCGCCCCTTGGTCTCGTGGATTCTTCTCCGGGTCCTCCGGTTTTTCCCTCCACATTTAGAATCAACATGCATTTACAGTATTTGGGCTGCTATAAATTTACACGTGATAAGCCACTTCGTTGAGCTATCACTTGTTGGCCTTACCTGATAAATCACTCTTTGTAAAAGCGCCTTGAGCTAAGGCGCTCTAAAAATAAATGAGAAATATGTCCGGGTTTCATCTGTCGGAAAGGTGGGGTGTTACTTGTGGCTGAGAGATGTTTGAAAGGAGAGCGATTACCTTCATGTCGCGGTCTCTGGCCGAAAATTCCAGCTTGTTGTCCTTTATTGCTTTCATTTTATGCTGCAAAGCGTCCAGCTTGTCCCTTAGAGCTTTCTGAAAATAAAGGTTGGACAGAGATTTCATCAAGGAGCATAAACCATGATCGCGCGAACTCCGGTCATCCTCACAGCAGCAGCGGCAGCTTTTGGCTGGATATTGAACAAAGACGGTCGCCACATCATTGCACGGCGCTTGTAGATGCGCTTCTGTGGCTGTCTGGAACGCTCTTCCTTCCGATATTAGGAAGCCATTGGGAGCTATGCACTTTAAAATCATCTAGATTGACAAACTCATTTATTTAGAACTGCATTTTGTGTTTATTTTGTTGTCTTTCCCTCACACCTCCGTTGAGCGTGGTTGGCTACTTATGGTGCGAAAGAAGATCAACATACATATGCTAAATCGCAGTAGTTATCTGTTGGGTTGGTGCAGCGTTTAGAGTGTTGCCACTATGAACCCAGCCACGACTAACATCACTGGCGAGTGGCTTCTGAACCGGATCCTGAACCCTCACCCCCCTCTTCACCAACCCGAATATTCCTTCGGTCCCCAACTTTAGACTTCAAGCCAGCATGAAGTCTGGTCAAACCACCCCCATGACCTTTATCCAGCAGTGGCATGATAGAGATCTATACATTATGATATATAGCATTATAATGATTATTATATTGATGGATGTATAAGAACTCGCGTGGCACCGTGGCAGGCTGCTCTGCCGATATCAGCCAGGACAATGATACAAAAGCAGTCCAGACATAAGCTATGGGCTGCACATTAATCAAGCTGGGCGTTGTGACGTACGAAGAGAGTTCGCCGAACGGACGCTGCTGGTGAAAGGCATTTTTTTTGTGCTGTGTTTTGACAAAGACTGTGTTGCAGCCATCACGATGAATGCCGGTGCACCAAACGCAAAGAACCTCCATCACAGTCAGTGGTGGTGGTGGTGGTGGCACGCCCCCATCTGCCACCTCCTTGTGGACCAACCGATGTGATTTTGAAAAAAACAGTGGGGGACCCAGTGGTGGACCCATTTCCTATTTGTCATCCAAATTCCGCCATGTTGAATGCATCTCCACGTGCGGGACGGCAGCTGGTCACCCCAACCGGTGTTTTGCCTCTCAAACAAAAGACACAACCTCAACAGCATTCATCGGCTGCGTCCCACAGTTATTTAACGCGATTGTAAGCCTCGTTAATGAGAAGGGTAAAAAAAATACTTTAAAATCACGGCCAGGTTATTTCCCAAAGCACTCCAGGCAATGGCACTGCTTCGACGTTGTATTTGAACGTATGCAAGTGGCATCAGTGGCGAGATGTTAACTACCTTGCCTGGTATACAGGAGGTCGCGGTTTTGATCCCGATCATGATGCCTGCTGTATATTTGGAGTGTGCATGTTCTCCCCGTGGTTACGTGGATTTTTCTCCGGATCCTCCGGTTTTTCCCTCTACATTTAGCATCAACATGCGTTTAGAGTACAATGGTACCTCGGTATACGTCGTTAATTCGTTCCAGAAGGTAGGACTTATACCGAAAATGACGTATACCAAACGAATTTTTCCCATAAGAAATAAAGGGAAAGGAAACAATCCGTTGCAGAGTATAAGAAATTATATTTTATATGGCATATTATACATTAATGGGGTTGTATAAAATAATTTAGACACTACTTATTACTAAAATGCATACAGAAATAAAAATAAATGCATAAATAAATTAAAATCAGTTTATTTTTATTTTTACATCACTTTACCTTGCTGAGAGGAGTTGATAGCCTACGAGGATGGTGGCGAGGAAGGGGAGGAGGAGGAGATGTTATTTTTTGGAAGGAGAGTCCCCTTCCATTAAAACTTCAGCAAGCTGAAATTCTGGGGTTTTTTCTATTTCACTTTTCTGTCTTTTTTCTTGACTTGGACCTGGTTTGAGTTTTACTAAAAACCTGTCCATTGAAGTTTGTTTTTGCCTTCTTCTAAGAATGTTCCTGAAGTGTGCCATTGTCTGGTCATTCCACACAATACTGTTACGGCTTGTTAGAGCCATAACAGTATTGTGTATGCGGGTACTGTACGCTGTGACTCATCCCGACCCATACAAGTTCTAGCAAGCGCGTCGTATCCCAAACAAGACGTCGTATCGCAAGACATTTATTTTCTCAACAAAACACGACGTATACCAAATTCGACGTATTCCAAAGCGGTCATATACCGAGGTATGTATTTGTCTGCTATACATTTCCACTTGGTAAGCAAATTCGTTTGGCTATAATTTGTGATCGCCAGGTTGCTTCTGAAAAAGAGCTATAGAGCTCAGTGGGCCTTGCATATGTAGTAAGTATATATGGAGGCTTGACGACAGGATCGGAGGCACACTTATTTATTACACCAACACAGTTGTACAGGTCACTTGGCTACAGGGATTCTCGACAGCTAACCCCTCTAACCTATACCAATTCCTCCACTACGGGACTAGGGGAGGCTATCTGTCCCAGCTTGGTTAAGCTGGGATCCCGGCTCCCTGAGTCACCAGACCAGCTTCGTCTGGGCTCTCGGGGCCACGCCACCGGCTTGCCCTGGTCGGCCCTTATAAGGACAGCGAGCCAGGGGAGCTCTGGGGCCTACACTAGCTGGTCTTCCGTCTTCTCTGGTTAAAGCTGAGTCCCGACCTCGAGCCCTCGAGCTCATCACCTTTTATAGGACTCGCCCCCGAGGGGGGGCCCGTGGGGGATACACATGCGGACGTCGGTGCTAGCGCCACCCTTGTGTACGGCCGTAACCCCGCCCCTTGTGTTTGTTGGCCATCCGTGGCCATGCATAATCACACCTCAACATTCGTAGCCATGCGCAATTACACCTCTACATCACCCCCCCCTGTACAGCTCGCAGCCGTCCCTGGCTGCAAAAAAAAAATCAGAATAAAGGTGCATCCCTCACAAAAACCCCGTGTGTGTGCCTCGCGTAATTTTTAACAAGAACAAGAGAACCTTAACAAGAACAACAACAGGAAGAGAGAGAGAGAGAGAGGAAAAAAAATAACCCGACGCACCCCCCCCGAATAAATACCCCAAAACCAACATATATACACACACTCCGGACGCCACCCCTCCCATTGTCCGCAAGGCCCCCCAACGGCCGACCTCACAATAGTCTGCGCGTTTTGGCGCGCGTCCGCGCGGCGGGCCCGTCACAAGGGCCCGTCCTGGCACGCTCAGTGACGGTTGTTGACGGTCCGGGTGCAAGAGAGTCAGGCGTCGCTGCCGAGTGACCCCCGACCCCTCCGGGAGGGGTTGGTGGGTGTGGACCCGTCACTCCTGTTTCACCTGGGGACGGAACAGTTGGCGTCAGGTTAGGCGAGTGCAGCGACGACGGGGAGTCGGCGACACCCTCACACGTTTGGCCATGCGTGTGTGTGTGTGAACCACGGGGCGGCGCGACAAATGGTTTTAACCTTGAGGGGTGCACATACCACCGGCGCCTCCCCCATTTGACGCGAACACATTGCGGCCGCAAAACCTGCACGACCTCCACTGGCCCCCGCCACGGCCGTACCAATTTCGACGAGGTTGCCAGCGGCACCTGAGGACAGTGCAACCACGCCCTGTCCCCTGGTTCCCATTTGACCACCTGCACCCGCCCCAACCGAAGCCTCTCGTTCGCCTTCTGGCGGAGTTCAGAATTTTGCACGGCCGCTTCCCGCGCCTCAGACAATTTAGCGATGTTAAATTTAATGTGTTCGGACAAATTAGACTTCGCCGGGAGCGCCGAGAGCTTCAGCTGGGTCGCCACAGGGGGGTTAACTTCGCGCCCATACATTAAAAAGAAACGGGAAAATCCGGTGGCCGCATGAGGAGCCATCCTGTAGGCCTGCCACACACCGGCTATGCGGAGGTCCCAATCCGTCTGGGATACCGACACCTGCTGGGACAGCATGGACGTGATGGTCCGATGCAGCCGTTCCACCATCCCGTCAGTTTGTGGGTGATACGGAGAGGTCCGAACCTTCTCCGTACCCAAGAGGTCGCACACCTCACGTAGGAGTTTACCAGAAAAATTCCTACCCTGGTCAGTAAGCAGCCGTTCCGGAGCACCTTTGTCGAGGACATAGCCCTGGACAAAGGCCTCCGCGATGGCTGCTGCCGACTGGTTCGCCAGGGGCCAGGCCATAGGCCATCTCGTGAAGTATTCAACCCCCGTTAGTAAATACCTATTGCCCCTGGGCGTAGCGGGAAATGGCCCAAGTATGTCCAGAGCGACGAGCTCGTTAACCCGGGAAACTTTTATGGACTGCAGCGGAGGGTTGGACCCCCTCGCAGGCGGCTTCCTCTGCGCGCATTGCGTGCATGACCCCAAGAGATCCCCCACGTCCTTTTCCATGCCCGGCCAGAAGAAATCCAGCTGGAGCGTGGCAAAGGTCTTGTGAACCCCCAAGTGCAGAAGCCGCTCATGAACAGCCCATACCACCTTACCCCTTAAAGCAGCAGGCACCACAAGCCGCTGGCGCCGGGTTTTTCCATCCCAGTGCATCAAAAGACCCTGGAACAACCCCCACGAGTCAACGTTTTCCACCCCCTGACCAGCCCCCCCGACGCGACGGCGCAAAGCGAGGAGGGAGGTGTCCTCCATTTGGAGGCGTCCCCATTCCGCGACCGGCAACCCCAGCAACGAATCCCTCCCTTCTTGCTCGATAGGACCCGAAGCCGAAGGTGCATCGGTAGCGGCCACGAGGACCGAATCGGTGGTGACGTTCGGGGGCCTACAACGCCCCGAACCCAACAGGCACGCGCACTCCGAAGTGGGTGGCAATCGTGACAGGGCGTCAGCGTTCGTGTGGCGGACACCCTTACGATATGTGGTGACAAAGTCATAGTCTTGGAGGATCTCCAACCATCGAGACAACTGGCCCGATGGTTGTTGAACCCGCAGGGCGTACTGTAGGGCCGCATGATCTGTACGGACGGTGAACCGCCGACCGTACAGATACGGGCGGTACTGCTGAATGAAATAAACAATGGCCAATAATTCCCGACGGGTAACGCAGTACCGCTGTTCGGCTGGAGACAGTACCCGACTACCGTAAGCCACCACATGCTCTACGCCCCCGATGAGCTGGGACAGCACACCCCCGATGCCCGTGTTACTTGCGTCAGTATCGAGCAAGAAGGGTTGTGAAAAATCCGGGTAATTCAACGGCGGAGCTCCCACCAAAGCATTTCTGAGGGCGCGAAAAGCAGCCTCCTCCTCCGGCCCCCAATGAAACCTGACTCCCTTGGACGTCAAGGCATGCAATGGTTTCGCAATCGTAGCGAAGTCAGCCACAAATCGCCGATAATACGACGCGAACCCAATGAAACTCCTGACCTCTCCCACAGAGGTGGGAGTCGGCCAGGAGCTGACGCATTCCGTTTTGGCGGGATCAGTGGATATCCCCGAGCGCCCAACAATGTGACCCAAATATCGCACCGATTCGCGGAGTAAATGGCACTTCTGTGGTTTAAATTTCAAATTGGCAGCCCGCATTTTGAGAAAAACAGCACGCAACCTCTGGAGGTGTTCCTCGAAGGATTTGCTAAAGACGATGACATCGTCTAAGTAAATCAAACACGAATCCCATTGCAAACCTGCCAAGACCAATTCCATTAACCGCTGAAAAGTTGCCGGCGCAGAATGTAAACCCATCGGCAAACGGTTAAATTGGAAGAGGCCCTGCGGTGTACGAAAAGCAGTCTTAGGTTTCGATTCGTCATCCAGAGGAAGCTGCCAGAATCCAGATAGCAAATCAAGGGTGGAAAAGAATCGCGCACCGGCCAAGGCGTCGAGCGACTCATCCATCCGAGGAAGCGGGTACGCATCTGCCACAGAGATTTTGTTGAGACGCCGAAAGTCAACACAAAATCTCAGTGAGCCGTCGTGTTTTTTCACCAAAACGATCGGCGCGCCCCACGGGCTGGTGGAAGGGGAAATGATATCGGCGGCTAGCATGTCATCAACAGCCGATTTGACATGATCCTTTTCGGCGGGACTCAACCGAAAGGGATTTTGGCGGATCGGCGCGCTGTCACCCGTGTCAATATGGTGTCGCAGCAATTTTGTACAACCAATATCAAATTTGTGTTGACTAAAAACGTCAGCAAATTCGCTCAGGAGAACTCGCAGCTGCGCGCGCTGCGAGTCAGACAGGTCCACTGAACCCGCGCAAAGCGCATCCAGCCATCCGTCATCAGAGTCCGAATGCGGTCGCGACGGAGGATCGGTGGATACCTGACCCACGAGTGGTTCCTCATAGGGCACCGGCGTTGCGTGTGCAAGCACGGTCCCTTGAGGAACCACGGCCGTTCGCGATCCCACATTAAGGACTGCAATGAAGGGGTCCCCATCCCCTCTCACCATAGTCTGAGCCGCGAGCAAATCGGGTCCATTGACCCCGGCCCGAGATGGACCCAACAAGACCCCCCGATCCGCAACCCCTGCATCAAACGACCGACGCAACCTAAGAGGGACGAGCATCTGAGCCCCCGGAGGCACGCGCACAGTTTTTGTGACGAGCGCCTGCACGGTGGCAAACGCCCGACGCTCCGTGGTGGGGGAAGACAGAAATGTAACGCGTCGGCCCGATGGGAGCTCAATGCACCCTTGGTCAATAAGGATACGGATGGGCATTTTGGCCAGAAAATCCGTCCCCAACAGGCACGGAACCGCGAGTGAGGAGGAAACCAAAACAGGGCCGGATAATTTAATGTCTCCAATGCAGATAGTGGCGCGGATTTGGCCAATAATGCCCAGAGAGCCTCCGTTAGCGGCATAGCACGGCACGTCAACAGGGAGCAAGGGACGACTTTGAACGGGAAGGATGTTATAAATTAAATCAGATATAATGGTCGCCGATGCCCCTGTGTCAATTAAAATCCGCACCTCTACCCCATCAATGTGACCGACCACGACCGATGATCCCGCCGACGCAGCAACGACACGATGGGCGAGCTCCGACCACTGACCCGGTTGGAGCGCTCGCCGCATTACCGAACAATCGCGCGCGACGGACGGGGAGTTTGGAGCCCTGTTTAGTTGAGCGCGTGAGTGTGTGTCGGATGTGTGCGTGGGCCAAACGTGTGAGGTGCCGCGACTCGCCGTATTTCTCTGCTGGAGCTTGGGAGGAGACGGCGTGGCGTCCTGACGAGGTGTCGCCCCGCGCTGACGGGGAGCCCGGCATCCAGACGCAACGTGGCCTTGCAGGCCACAGTTGTAGCAGCGTGTGAGCGCCCCAGATGACCTGGGCTGCTCCTGGCGGCTCGGTCCATTCCGAGCCTGCGGTGCCGCCGATCTCCATTCCCCTCGCCGCTCCACCCCGCAGACCTCCTCCGATGGGAGGGCGGTGGTCGCCATGGCATGGCCGGCCGCCCCCTTTGCCGCCTTCCGACGCAGGGACCGCAAGCCCCCGTGGATGTGGCGCGCGACCAGCAGGGACGACATCTCCGCGTCGTCCTGAGCCAGGACGTTGACGTCCAGCTCGTCAGCGAGTAGCAGCAGCTTCTCAGCCACCATGGCATCCACTCCTTCCTCGTCCATCCTTGGGAAAGCAGCCTTTGCCAGAGCCAGGAGAGCCGTCCGGAAGGCCAGGGGTGACTCGTTGGCGCCCCGACTCCGATCGTGGAACAGCTGCCTGCAGTCCGAAGGCGGCCCATAGACGGCTGACAGCAGCTGCAACGCCAGGTGTAGAGTGGCGCGCTTTTCCCTCGGCGCCGAGGTGAGGGTAGCCAGGGCGTCGTTGTCCAGCATCGCTGGCAGCGCGCGTAGAGCCTCGGCGTCCGACCAGTTCGCCATCTCTTGATGAGCGATGAACCGCCTCTTGAAGCCGCCCCAGTCTCCGTCAGCGCCGACAAATTCTTTAAGAGGCGGCAGACGCTGTTGTAAGGCGGCGTCCGTGGCCGCAGAACGCTCTCCGTCGCTCCCCGCCGATGATACAGTGTGGGCGGGCCGTGCACATGGCATCGCCGGTCGCTCTGATGTTGACGCGCCGGCCGGCGTTGATGATGTCACGGCTTGTGCTTGGCGCTCAGCAGACACGTGACGCGGGCCGGCCCCGCCCTCCGCTCGTACTGTAGAGATGGCGGGAAATTTGACCGCGAGCCGCGTCGGGGTGGCGGGAAACGTCGCCCCGCGCCGGCTGCCGTCGTCGACCCGCGCTGCTCCTCCAGCCCCCAGCCACGTGATCTCCTCCAACGCGGCGGCCGCGGCGTAGAGCAGGTCCGCCAGGCGGGAGTGGGCCAGCCGGAGTCCCTCGGCCGACGCATCCCCCTCCTCCTGTCGTAGCGGCGCGGGCGTACTCGGCCCCGGCTGCTCCGATTCGACCCCGGCCATCACTGGTGGAGAATCGGCCGCGGCGTCTTCCATCTCCGACTCCCTGGTACGTGTCGTCCCTCGTGTGTCCATCGTTGGACGTTTACTTCTGACCCCAGATGTAGTAAGTATATATGGAGGCTTGACGACAGGATCGGAGGCACACTTATTTATTACACCAACACAGTTGTACAGGTCACTTGGCTACAGGGATTCTCGACAGCTAACCCCTCTAACCTATACCAATTCCTCCACTACGGGACTAGGGGAGGCTATCTGTCCCAGCTTGGTTAAGCTGGGATCCCGGCTCCCTGAGTCACCAGACCAGCTTCGTCTGGGCTCTCGGGGCCACGCCACCGGCTTGCCCTGGTCGGCCCTTATAAGGACAGCGAGCCAGGGGAGCTCTGGGGCCTACACTAGCTGGTCTTCCGTCTTCTCTGGTTAAAGCTGAGTCCCGACCTCGAGCCCTCGAGCTCATCACCTTTTATAGGACTCGCCCCCGAGGGGGGGCCCGTGGGGGATACACATGCGGACGTCGGTGCTAGCGCCACCCTTGTGTACGGCCGTAACCCCGCCCCTTGTGTTTGTTGGCCATCCGTGGCCATGCATAATCACACCTCAACATTCGTAGCCATGCGCAATTACACCTCTACACATATTAAAATAAAAAAAGTTTACTTTTAGTGTAAACACATAACGGTGACCTTAGCTTTCTTATCATTCCCAAGGCCTCAGATGGCTGTCTTGACAGCCCAGGACACACAGCGTCTGCGGGCTTTTACTCTGCTCTCAATTTAACAAACGTTGCTAGGATCTCAAACGCATCGCTTGATGGGCAAAATATGCAACTCTGCGCGCGACAAATTATATTCGTAAAATATATATAGATATATATTTATGCAATAAAACAGTCACCTAAAGTATTTCCCCAATGTTTTTATTTAGTATATGTGCTGCATAGAGAAATCTTCACATTCCCCAATTAATGCGATGAAGGAAGTAAATTACCCATTTACAGGCACATTTCTACGGGGAGCCAAAAAAAACAACATCAACAAAGACAGCTTGGTGATCATACAAACGGCCAATTAGCACAAGCAACATGTTAAAATAATAACATCCTGACAAGCCGTTATTTTGAACCATTATAATACGTCTAATTACCGTACTTCCAACTTCAAATCGCAGACAGATGGCCCCTCGGCAGGCTCCTGGCTGGGCGGGTGAATTGAGGGCAAAGCTGCAGGTGCGGGAAGCTGAGAGAGCTCACACGACGGGTGTTTAAGTGCGCGCCACACACTCGCGTCTCCTCAAACGAACAGAACCGTGAAAAAAAAATAACAACCCAACAGACAATTGAGGCTGACTGCTCTTCTACGTTACGGCAGGAGAGTGCTACTCATTTTTTTATCAACCCTGGAGGGACAATGGGCCCAGTATAACTCCAATCAGGATTTAAACTGCAAGTTAAACTTCACTAGTGTTGTATTTGACCAGGTAAGGCCCGCTGAGCTCTACAGCTCTTTTTTAGAAGCGAACTGGCCACAAATGACAGATCGACGAAGCAGCTCATCAGGTGGAAATTTTCGCAGCCAAATTCTCTAACCGCACGTTTCTGCTCTCTCAACCGCTGAGCCATCCAGCTGTTTTACAACTGAACTCCGAGTATAAACATGCCATGAGTAAATAAGTACATGTATAAATGCACCAACTTTTATAACCCGTGGTTATCCCGAGTGCGCAATATTCACACATTCTAAGCACGATTAAAGAGTTCTTTCTCGCATTTTCTCCTGAACTTGTTCAATGTCTTAAAAGAGTCTCGAACACGCAGCGGTAGTGAGATCCAGGCCGATGGACCCCTGACTGCAAAGCTGCGAAAGTCCAAATCTCGCTGTCCCAGTGCACGGAACGATCACGGGGGTCACCATGAGCCGCCGAATGAAGATGGCGACGATTGACAGTGGAGGGTGACGGCGCAGAACCTGCACCGTTTTACTTTTCAGCGAACGACGAATATGAGCAGCGGTTACATCCTGAAACCAGCAGCATGGATACACACAGACAGGGTGCACAATTCTGCCACGTGTGAACCGTAAATACCATCATATAAAATCCTCACTGGCGATGGCAATAAGCTAGAGGGCAGTGGTTTTCAGAGTGTGGTTCCCGCACCACCGGTGGTCCGGGACGGTCCACGGGGGCTGTGATGCAAAATGAAGGTAGGTAAGTTCGACACATAGCTTTTTGCCACCAATATTATTCATAATAAAGATGTTTTTGGGTGAGATCGCGTTAAATATAAATGTGTCTTTAACCGGCCACCAGAATTATGGTGGCTGGTTGTAATTACCAGGAAAACGTCACGGTACTGAAATTGTAAATGTTGTGGATTTACTCTCCAACACACCGGTGGGCTGAACTAATGAGTGTGTGGGTGGTGAGGAAGGGAGGGGATGAGTAGTGAGGAAGGGAGAGTGCAGTATGTGAACCACCCTACAATTGCTGCACCACACACGTTTTTAATGAGATGATGATGACGATATTATTATTATTATTACGGTCCGTTCTCCTATAACGCGGTGCTAGTTGCATTCCTGAAGAACACTGTGTTTTTTTTTATGCATTATAATAAACAATATATAATATAGGGTAATTCAACAGTCCGTGATAACACGTGAGATGCATACGCAAGCCGAACAAAGACTGAGGCATATGGGTAGCATCTAGAAGCATCCAGCAGCATCCCAATGCTTTGTGTGATACTTAGCCGTGCGACATCGTTCCATTCACTTAATAGCATTATATCCAATTCTCATCCGCGTTTATATATATTTTTAAAAATCCTGATACATTCATCACGTTATATACAATTGGCATTATGAAAACAACACGCGGTGTTGAGGGAGAACCAGACTGCATTTGGCCAGATGCTTGTGCTGTGGCAGCGCGCGAGTCTCGGAACCAGGTCATGAGTTCAAATCCCGTTCAGGAGTCAACTCAGCCTATGTATGTTTAACTTCTTTTGCACCGTACATAGCCAACCGTGCCAATCCGAGGTGCGGGGGAAGGATAACAAACTAAACATGAAAATCAGTTCTAAAGAAATTTGTTTTCAAACTAGATGACTTAAAGGTGCATAGCTCCAGTAGCTTCTTAATATCGGAAGAGCGTTATAGATGGCCGCAGAAGCGCATCTGAAAGTGCAGCGATGTGGCGACCGTCTTTGTTCAATAGCTTAGCCAAAAGCCGCTGCTGCGAGGAACAGTGATTCGAGATAATTATTAAAACCGGTCCCTGCCACCAATGCTGCAGAGTTCCCACTACTGCGTCAGGGGGACTGCCAATGGAGATGGGGCGCTGCCCAGCTCACTGCCTTCCACTAAGAAGTAGGCGGCAGCACGGTGGCTAAGAAATGTTAACTACCTCGCCTGGTATACAAGAGGTCGTGGGTTCGATGCCGACCCTGACGTTTGCTGTATATTTGGTGTTTGCTTTTTTCCTTGCCCGTGGTCGTGTGGATTTTTCTCCGGGTCCTCCAGTTTTTCCCTCCATATTTGCAATCAACATCACGCGTTTAAGAGTTTCTGGGCTGCTATAAATTTCCACTTGATAATCCATTTCATTGCGCTATCATTTTTAATTTCCAGGTCACTTCTGAAAAAGAGCTATGGGGCCGTCCATAAATTACGTCACGCGATTTTGGACGATTTTTGACCCCCCCCCCCCCCCTCGTCACACGGCGTCACAAAAAGTCAGACCCCCCCTAAAATATGACGTCACAAAGCTCTGCCCCCCCCCCCCCCAAAAATAAAACATGCTTAAAATCGCTTTAAACTATTGTCAATGTAGTGCGTATTTAATGTGGCGCTGCACTCTGATGTTGTAGAAAACATTTATTAAAACGTTCATTTAATTAAGTAGAACGTGTTGTCTATATTTATTTAAAGTTGCGCATTTTCATGTGACGTCACATTTCTCAACACCCCCCCCCCTCGTCATACATCGTCATTTATGGACGGCCCCTATATAGCTTACTGGGCCTTACCTGTTAAAATAAAAAGATTTGTTTAGTTTATAGCTGCACTATTTTGGATGTTCAAAAGGCCTCGGTATGCCTCGGTATGCCACGGGGGCAGCTGCAGCAGGCCTCGTGATGCCACGGGGCCGGCTGCAGTTTCACACCGCGGTGGGATATGGCTGGACACGCTGCTTTCCACCGTGAGTGCGGGAGGCGATAACAAACATTGCAATCGCCAGCACAATAAGATACGCTGAGAACGGCGATAGGGAGTTACGACTTAGCGTGCGCTGTGCTCCCGGCAAGTGAGTCTGTGAAAGCGGGAAGCACTGGCCACAAGGAATGGGGGGATTGAATGGTCCGTTCTCATTACGTGACCCCCACCGCTCTGACCCTGCACTGCTTAAACATGGTGGGGTGGGGGTGAAAACAGCCTGCGGAGAATTTATTTAGGGTTGTGTCGAGTCGCATGTGTGTCCCGTATTCACGCGCGCGGAGGAGGCACCGATGCACACACCCACAGCTTATCAGTGTAGGCAATGTCTTGAAGGCAGATTGTAAATGCATATGTACGTGTAATAAAAGACTCCGTCAGGCACTGCTGGTCTCCGTTGGTCTTTTATTTAGGTTCTTTCTCCGCACTCCGCTGGTCCTGTCCGCGGACCAGCGTCGTCTCACACGCGCCCCGCATGCGCTCCCTCGTCAGCTCCTCCACTCTTCCTCACACCCCGCTAGTCCTGACAGGGGACCAGCGTCTCCTCGCGCGCGCCCACGCACGCTCCTCCGTTAGCTCCTCCACTGCCGCACTCCGCACACCGCTGGCCGACGGCGTACTGAAGGTCCTTCGGCCACGTGGCCGATGGCACGGATCTCCTCTCACCACCCAACGTGGCTCAGCCTCTTTACTCCGCAACTCCCCCAATCTCTTCCGAGCTCCCACTTATATCCTCTCCCCCACGTAACCCTGACTCCTCCCCTTCCGGATCGTCAGATCCGGCCTTCCCGTACTGCCCTGCTGGCTCCACCCCCATTCACCTCGCTTCCAATTGGAGCCGAAGTAAACGGCGGCCCCTCCCACACGCCCCCCATACTGGGCTCCGCCCCCCAATACCCCGGGCCGTGTGATTGAGCCAGAGGCCAGCAGCAAACCCCATTTATGCTCGCATTACATACATATGCATTTACTAAAAACAAAACCATTTTTATCTTACGAGGTAAGGGCCACTGAGTTGTACAGCTCTTTTTCAAAAGCAACCTGGCTGTGAAAAAATGATAGCTAAATGAAGTGGCTCATGTGGACCCTGGAGAAAAATCCACACGACCACAGGGAGAACATGCAAACTCCAAATACTGTATACTTTCTTCAGGGTCAGGATCAAACCCAACACATTCCTGCGGAGGGAGCTGGTAGGAACGTTGAGTTGCTCGGTCAATGGCCAGGGTCAACGGGCGTGGTGTATTCCGCAAATATGGCCGACTGTGAGGGCGGGCACAAGCCGGCGTGAGTAGGTTATACGTTGAGTTTTATAAGGGCACCACGGGGTGACCAGCCCCTCCCCCCACCCGGCCCCTCCCCACCCCACCCTCCCCACCCAGCCCCTCCCCACCCAGCCCCTTCCTGCACGACGGACGGACACAATAATCCCCTGTGGGCTGGTGTAACCAGGAGGTTCCTACCAGTATAACCTCCTGCATACCAGGCGAGGTAGTTAACATCAGCGGTATTGTAGTAGTTAACGTGATGCGCTATGAACCCGGCGACCCGGGTTCGATTCACGCTCATGTCCAACACCAGTGAAGATGATCTGAACCGGTCCTGGGCTTCTCCTAGGTCGACTCAGCCTCAAATGAGTACCTGGTGCAGTGGCGATACAAAGGTGGTCGGGCATGGTGCTGGCCAAACACCCCCTCGTGTACTGTTCCGGCCTTGATAGGTGCTCGCTAACAGCACTTGCCCCAACAGCCTGTTTAGCCTAAACGGGTGATCTTTGTGTTTGTGGCAGTGTCACCCAGCCTCCATCCGTTGACTCAACACACACGACCGCCTGCGTTGGTGAGATACGAGGCCCTGGCGCTTGCAATGATTCAGCAGGAAAATTAATCTTAGGTCTCTAAAACTTTGTAAGAAATGTTCAGTGAGCAATCGGCTTGTTGTTGTGTGCGATTACATCACCCGAACGGTAAAAAGTAAAATTCGCAAATGGTTAAGACGGCGCAACTGGTTTTGCTGCTCCACCCAAGGTATGTACACAGGACGTTGAACTTGTTTCGCAAGCGTGCGGAGCCACCGTTCTCATCGGAGAGGTGCGGGGGGGGGGCTCAGGTGAAGAGGCCACACCTGCGGAGCGCCAGGCCGGTGCCTTCACTCCCACTGGGAGGAATGTGCGTGGTGTCAGAGGCCATCGAGTGGCTCTGTGAGGGCTATAAAGAGACTCTGCGTAGTCAAAATCCACTGGCCAATACAGACTAACGCGATACAAGTGTACAAGCTGGTCCAGATGGGTCTTGTGACCCCCAATTAATTGGACCCCTAACAATATTTTTCCTTTGCATATTCATTTCTGTTTTAAATAAACCCTATTAAAAAAAATTACGTTTTTAGAGAATTCAACGGTGGGTCACGAGACATCTGGACCGACCTGTACAATGCTGACGTGAATTGATGGAACCTTCGCCTGGCCAGCTGCTCTAATCAGCTCCAGCGAGTGGCCGTGAGCAGGTGAATTCGCAGGGCTGTCTGCGCCTTCAAACAGCAGCGCACGGGGCCATCGGAGTCCGGCAGAAATGGTTGGGCTACCGACGGTGCTAATGAAGTTCAACATACGTACATAAGAGTGATGATGAATGTACGATCATGTTGAACTTCTTTCGCACCGCACGTAGCCCAACCGTGCTCATTGGACCATTGCAAAGTGACGTTTGAGTGACTGATGTCACTCAACTCAATGACATCCCAGCGACAGGCTCTATCCACTGCTCTCGCCTGGCGAGTTCCAACCGAAATCGTTCTCCGTGCGCTCCACCACCAACTACCACCACCAACCACTACCAAAGACAAAGATCCCCCGTATAGCCTTAACAAACCGTTGGGGCAAGTGCTGTTAGTGTGTACATATGAAGGCCGGCATGGCACACGAGGGGGTGGGTGGCCAGCACCACGCCAGGCCACCACCCACCCAAACACCATAACCACCCACCAACCACCACCACTACCACCACCAACCACCCAACCACCACCAACAACCATCACCACGCGTTCTAGATTTGAAGCATCACCACCCGATCACCACGACCATTATTAACCACCCGACCACCACCACCCTCTCTCTCCGTCTCACCTTGAGCACGGGGTCCTCCTGCTCCACCCTCACCGCTGCGTGGTTCCTGTGCGCGCCCACCGTGGTGCAGTCGACGCAGACGAGCGCGCCGTCCTGGCGGCACACGTAGCGCAGCCTCTCGCCGTGCTCGGAGCACTTCCTCGCCGCCACGTCCACGGCGGGCTCCACCACCACGTGGTGGCCGTAGGCGGCCGTCGAGTGGGGCAGCGAGTGCTCGGCGCAGAACGAGAGGTCGCAGGTGAAGCACGACTTCACGGCCGCGCGCATTTGCGGAAGGCACAGGGCGCATTGCGGCTGCTGCTGCGGTTTCTGCTGCTGCTGCTGGTGGTTGCGGTGCAACATTGGCGGGGGGCTGTCATCGAAGCAATCCCGCAGCGCCAGCTGCTTCACCACGTTGGCGAGCACGGTGTTCTTCTGCAGCGAGGGACGCGCCGCGAAACGTCGGCGGCACTGCGGGCACGACAGCGCTGCGCCGGCGCCCTCCTCGGCCTCCCAGCAGCGCTCGATGCAGCCCTGGCAGAAGTTGTGGCCGCAACCGAGCGTCACGGGCTCCGCGAACTCCTCCATGCACACGACGCACGTCAACTCCTCGCCCAGCTGCTTCAACCTCGAGGCCATCGCGGGCGGGCGGTGTCGTGGCGAACTCAGTACACCAACGTTGCCGGTCCCCCAGACCCCCCTCACCCAGAGTGAGTTGCGATCACGGCGAGTTTGTCGCAAGGGCGACTTGTTGATGGTGACAGGCGTGAGAGGAGAGTCAAAGTCACCAGGGCGACTTGTAGGTGGTGACAGGCGAGAGAGGAGAGTCAAAGTCACCAGGGCGACTTGTTGGTGGTGACAGGCGAGAGAGGTGAGTCAAAGTCACCAAGGCGACTTGTAGGTGGTGACAGGCGAGAGAGGAGAGTCAAAGTCACCAGGGCGACTTGTTGGTGGTGACAGGCGAGAGAGGAGAGTCAAAGTCACCAGGGCGACTTGGAGGTGGTGGTGGCTCCAAGTCGTTGGTGGACGCGCGGGGAGAAGTGGCGCGGGGTTCGCGCGGCGGATTCCTCAACCTGGCCCGAGGTGTCTCGGCGAGACGATGCCGGAGTGGTCGAGATGAGAGAGGCGATGCCGGAGTGGTCGAGATGTGGAGGGCCGTTGTGGGTTGAGAGGCTGCCCTCCAATGCCCTCTCCACCCGGGCGGTCGAGGCGAGGCGCTTGAGGAGGAAGTTGAAGTCCCCAAACCGAAACCGGACGACAGCAGCAGCCGCAGTGGCAGGGAGGGCCTCTAGCGAAGCTCTTCCCGACTCCAGCAGCCCCACAAGGCTCACAAAGTCACGAACAGCGCACACATTGCTATGAAAACACTCACAAACTCACTCGCACACAAACTCGTGACACTCGCATGAACACACACAAAACGCATACACTCACGTGAAAACAACTGCCTCACACATACACAAACGAGCATACAGTAAAACCCGGAAAGACACCAAACACACCCCCTACAGCACCAACACGGGGGGAGGTTCTCATCATCGCTCGCCACGAATGAGCGCCACCGCCTAGAATCGAACTTGGCAGGGAACGGGGTTCTTGGTGGCGGCCGCGGCGGTGGAGCGCAGCGCTTGCAAATATCGCATTACCATCGTCATCGCATCATATCGCATTAGCATTATTGCATTATTATTGCATTAATATTGCATTATTATTGCATTATTGTTGCATTATTATTGCATTATTATTGCATTATTATTGCATTATCGGGATCGCATTATTATCATCCTTATCGCATTATCACCATCGCATTATTATCATTATCGCCGGCAATGAAAGTGCCACGGAACCTCTCAAGAGTCGTGCTTCTCAACAGGACCCCTGGGGGTTAGAGGACATCCATTGAGTCCGTACGCATTTGGTAATCCAAATGCGTGGCTTGCGTATGGGGGGGTCTACTGACAACGTACGCATAGAAAGGGGGGGGTGAAGCCTCGATAATAATTTGTCTACATTGGCCTTCAAATGTTAGATAGTCCGGCTTAAACACGTTAATATTATTCATCCTTGATCGTTCTGCGTGGATTAAACATCGGCCGTTCTATAGGATTCGGGGGGGGGGGGGGTGGGTGTAAAAAGTCCGCGTGCCTACAGGGAGGGGGAGGGGTCAAGTTTTGACAGATTTTTGCGTTCGTACTAAATGGATGGCCCCTAACGTGATAACAATGTCCCGGGTGTTCTTTTTGTACTCGAGGTGAAATTATATCATACGCGAGAGTCATCGGTGAATAATCAACGTGTGAATCTGCCAATGTAAAATAACTACGATTTAAAAATGTTAATCCTCATGGTAACCTAGAACGATATCAAATACCTTTCTAAACTCATTGATCTTAAACAATGTGGTTTTCAAGTGTGCGTTGATTTTTTTTATTCGCTTGCAGTTATTAGCCAGTTAAGTTATACCTCACAAAATGGACAATTCGAATATTGACCTTCATTATTCCTACATTTATTTCTCAGAACTACGTTGGGTCAGGCAAGGGGGGTAACACTCGGTAGAACCACTGACCTTAGAGGATACCTTGTGGTGTATCGTCATCATCACCGCACCACAACAGGTCATAAGTAGAACGCTGGTGCGAGTCACGTGAGTCGGAAATGCATTTTCCGAGGAGCAAATGTTTAACGTGGCTCGAAATTGTAAGGCACGCGTGTTCTCTCTGTGTATGAATGTTTAAAGGCTCTTAGATAAGTTGTAACGGTCCAGCGGGCAGGCAAACGAAATGAGCGCCACAGTTGCTATGAGATGTTAACTCCTTCGCCTGGTATACAAGGACATCGTGGGCTAGATCCCGACAATGACGCCTGGATATTTGGAGTTTGCATGTCTCTCTCTCAGTGATCGCGTGGATTTTTCTCCGGGTCCTCCGGGTTTTCCTCCACATTTAGAATCAACATCACACGTTTAGAGTATTTGGCTGCTATACATTTCCACACGATAAGCCACTTCGTTGAGCGATCATTTGTGATAGCCAGGTCACTTCTGAAAAAGAGCTAAATAGCTTAGTGGGCCTTACCTGGTGAAATAAAAAATAATCTTGAATATGTTTTTCATAGGTGAGTGATTACCACTATCGACACCTTCGTGGTGGTGAGGTGTTAACTCCCTCGCCTGGTATACAGTCGTTAGTTCGATCCCGACCCTGACGCCTGCTGTATATTTGGAGTTTTCGTGTCTCTCTTCCGGTGGTCGCGTGGATTTTTCTCTGGATCCTCAGTTTTTCCCTCCACATTTAGAAACAACGTATTTGGGCTGCTATAGATTACCTCACAAGCCACTTCGTTGAGCAATCATTTGTGGCCGGGTCGCTTCTGAAAAAGAGCTACATAGCTCAGTGGGGCCTTACCTGGTAAAATAAAAAAATAGATAAATAGCTTTCCCCCATTCAAAAGGAACATTTATGCACGAACAGTCCGTAACTCATTTTCCACTCTAGTCAGTCGGCCTTCCAAACCAAGCCGCGGGCGCGGAAAGCCGTGACTCCGGTGGCACGACGAGCACACTCACATTTACATTTCTAACAGGTTTTTTTTCTTCTCTTTCCTTTCATTCCTTAATAAACAGAAAATTGCTTCCCGAGTTTTGCCGCTTTGGTGGCTACGCGCACACCTGCACGCCAGTGACACGTGGCGCGGCAGGTGGTTCCTGTGCTTGTGTTCAATGATCCACACAGAGACAAAGATCCCCCGTGTAGCTTTAACAGACTGTTTGGGCAAGTACGGATTTGCAACACAGGACCTCTAGTTAGCACGGTTGGCTACGTACGGTGCAAAAGAAGTTCACCATAAAGTAATTAAATACGACGTTAAAGGGGGAGTCATAAATTGGGTTATTGCTGTATTAACTATAAGGTGTAATATTTGCGTGACGCCGCCGGCCGTCGAACATATAGCAACAAAGATTAATCGTAAATGTACAATGTATCACGGAGATAGTCATAAACAGTAATTGCGTTTAAGACAAATCCCTTCAATATAATGGTCTCGATATAGGTATTTCAAGGTGGAAATGTGATGCTGTTTAAATATTTAATCAATTTATATCATCTTTTCAGCTGAGAAATAGATTTTTTTTTCAAGAGAAATTACTTCTGTGAAGCAGCGTGTGCCCTTTATGGATGGTACGTGAGAGCACTGGGAATGCAACAAGTCCAGCACGATGCTAAGAGCACCGCACGCCTCCCTTACACGGGGGAGGCTAAACGCACAGTCCCGGGGGGTAGGCAGCATCATTAATGTCGCTAGAGTGGAGCGCGGCCAGTGCATGTTAGTGACACGTGAAGAACAATCTGCTCAAATCAATCTTCGCTGTAGCCTTCGCGGTTTCGCATTATACGCTCTCGTGTTTAAATGGATCGTTGATATTTTGTCATCTTTGCCGTTTATTTTAACAACTCGAAAATCAATGTTTGCCGTTTAGTTTATGATCGGCTGGTTAGCCGCTGGGGTTAGAGTGACTGATCCGATCGGGCTGCAAGGTTGAAACATCCCTGGGGTGGTGATTGTGATGACTGTTGTAACACGAAGCAACAGATGAGCCGAATGTACTCTGCTGCTCTACGAACGCAGCTCTTGCTGCTGCTGCTGCTACCATCAACGAGGGAAGAAGATAATTGCCATTGGTGCCATTGCTGCTGCACAGGGCGCTATCAGTATGCGTGCGCGTTGAGTGGCATTTCGAAATGCGTGACCCTTATCCACATTGTGGAAGGGTAGAATAACTCGGAGGATCGTTTAAAGCTGCAGATGATGACGATGATGGTGTGGGATGTTTGACGACGTGTCATCTTTGCGACTACCCGCGAAAGACGGCCCATGATGATGCAATTCAATACCCTGCACCGAATGGCAAATTCATCATGTCATCCGTAACAACTGTGGATAGCAGTGATATTTGGAGATGCAACGAAAACTTTTTAATATTAAAATAATTTTAAGCTGAAAAAAGGGTCACAACTTATCATTGCAAATCAAAAAAACGTAACCATATGAAAATTTCATAATTTACAGTATTTTGACCAGCCTGGCGGCACTGTGAGTAGCGCTTTCGACTCGTGGTCGAGTTCAAATTGAACCCCGAGGGTTGACTCAGCCCATCGACTATTTGGTCAATAAAGATGCATTCCAATTTGTGAGAGGCCAAACGTAATAACTTGACGGAGCGAATCGCATCTGCCACAGGAGTAAGGAACTTCCACGAGGGGTTCCGTTGTTGTCAAGGAGATGTGCACCATCATGTTGAATGTGAATGTTCATTTGAACAAGAAGACAATGACTTTTCTTGTTTGTTTTTATTCAACCCGAATCAACAGTCATGACAGAAGGCACGTCAACATACGGGTCTGTTCTCCTACAACGCGGTGGTAGTTGCGTTCCTGAAGAACACCGCATGATGGAAAAATCGCGTTATAATAAAGTATATAATATAGGGTAAAGCAACAGTCTGCAGTAACACGTGAGATGTGTACACAGGCCGAACAGACTGAGGTGTGTGGTTAGCATCCAGCAGCATCCAAATGCCTTGTGTTATGCTACGCCAAGGTAGCCGTTACGACCGCATATTCCTACTCACGCGACGTAGTTCCGTTCACTCGATTTGCGTTATATCCAAGTCGCATCCGCATTGTAAAATGCATTTCCCTAATACATTTGTCGCGTTATGTCCAATTCGCCTTATGAAAACAACACTCGGTGTTAGAGGAAAACTACGAGTAAGACTTTGCATGTCCAGGGAGTGCGCCCTAAGTAGTTCATTCTCCCCAAATACCGGGTTCGAGAAGAAAATTACCTTTAAATAATGAACCAACGTCAGCGTGTAAAAGGATATCTTGTGCTTTTGTCCATTCTTTACAATACTCCGGAAAAGCACGCATACGGACCACAAAATGCACTATATCGTGCGCGAATCGTCGACCATCAACCGAATCGGGACAGGGCATGGCCGACGCGGCCACCTGATGCACAAACGGCCCATCAAAGATGCGGCGGCCTGCGAGAGTGCGGCCACGAATCCCAAAACCATCGACAGCATCGTAAACACTCCGCCGCTGCTGCTGTATTCACTCCTTTAAAAGAGAAATGGACGAGATCCACTCTACTTCTTAATAGACAATTAAGTGGATAACAATTCTAAAATTACATCTCTAATCTGCTGCCTTTAATTAATACGAAAGAAGACGATATCATAAATGTTTTGTGCGCACGGCATCGTGGGAATTTTCACAATACGCCATGAGCTCAACCAGGGGCATGTACACAGCAAATGTAATGTATCTCCGAGCGACCAGCAGCATCGCAACCCTGAATGTGCCCCCCTTTTAATAATATGTTTCAGCAGTAGCAAGGCAACATTGTGTTTGTGTACAGCACCGGTGTTGGCCTCATTATAGACAGCACTGCTCCGTTACCTTCACCATTATGACTCTATCTATTGCTGGTAATGGAATGGGTGTGGGGGAAAGGGGGGAGTCAAGGATGGGTGATACATCTGGCAGGGTTTTTCCAAATGACAGTTTCCCAGCATATAAACATCACATCTGCTGGACCTTAACCTTGACCCACTCACTTGCCAAATTTCTGGGAAAAAAATTGTTTACCAGGTAAGGTCCACTGAGCTATGTAGCTCTTTTTCAGAAGCGACCTGCTATCACAAGTGATAGCTCAACGAAGTA